TCACTTCCACTCAGTTGTCATGAAAATTAGTCCCATCAGCAAGATATTTTTTTAAAAAAGCTGGATATTATCCATTTATCATAATGCAGTCAGCAAAAATGATTCAAAGCAGTTTAAGTTAAGATTCTTAATCCCAGGTACTGTCTGCTGCTTCAGACTCAAGTCAGATCCACCACCTTTACAACTTTTCTTCTCTATCTTGCATTTCACTTCTTTGGGTATATATATATATATGACCTTTTCTTACAAATAAAAATGAAACAATTCTCATTTTTTTACTAGTAAAGCTTGCTTTTATTTTTAAGTTTCACTAATAGCACACCATGTTTGTACTAAGATTCTCAAGACATTCACATAACAGATACGCTATGATTCAGACTCTCTTTCCAGTGGGATCATCCAGAAGACAATGTTGTCAACTCATTAAACATTCCTATGCCTGTTTTAGTAGTTGCCATAAAAAAAGAGGGGGGGGAGGAAGGAAATCTGGAAGAGCAGTGCAGCAGTTTAGAAGCGAAAGTACATTGAACTCTTATCTTTAAAAGATTGTAACTAAAATACCAGAGATTTTACCCACGAATATGTTTAATTGGAGAACGTGGATGACACCCAGCCCGAGAACGTACTCAATTGGAGAATCTGGTTATGAGACACCCAGGTGGGAGGGGGGAAACAGGGTCACAGGTGACTGTAAATTACGTATGCCAGAGTTGGCTTCATACAGGGCAGTGCTAGTATGTCACCTCTAATGAATCCTTTGAAGTTTTTGGAAGTTTGGCTTGAGATCATGATTTAATTAGAGCGATTGCTGGAATCCTGACAAAAGTGCTCTGTTATCCTGTATATTTGTCTTTTAAGAGAAAGGGGCTTTGGTCTCTGGAAATACACATTGAGATGCAGATAAGAATAATTAGAATCAAGCATGTCACTGTTGCAGTCTGGTAGAAGTAGAAGAAAATTGTTGGTAACCTAAGCCACAAAATTAAAGCTAACTTCCTTTGTACTAGGTTTTTCTTTCTGCAAAAAAGATTAAACCAATCTGGATGATCAAAGATGGCTCATTCTTTCACAAAATGAAATAAAATGACATTTATGCTTGACTCATGACAGAAACTTTAAGCAATCTGATGGTCCACGTATCATTTTAAGTAAAGTGGTTTGATAAACTTTTATGATTGTGGCCTGAACAGCTTCGTTATTGGTTTCTTTAACCTTTAGACCAAGGGTGTCAAACTCGATTGTGTTGTGAGCCGGATCGTGACGTATCATGATGCTTTTTGCCTTTGCAGAGCTGGGGTGGGTGTGGCCTGCGCAGGCAATATGCAGCCCATGGGCCATCAGTTTGATAGGCCTGCTTTAGACTGATTAATTTAAAAATTATCCACTATGAATTTTGTTGGCAGAATAACAAAAAATTAAGGTAAGGTTTAGCACCTAGTAACTACGGGTAGTCCTCATTTGCCAAGTACAATTGAAACTACCAAGTCCATTGCTAAGCATCATGGTCACGAAGTGAAATGTTAGGTGACTGCTCTGGACTTATATCAATTCCAGTGCAGTCATTAAGTGAATTGCTGCAGATTGTTGAAATCTCACATGATTGCAGCTTCCCCGTTGACTTTGCTTGTTGGAAGGTGTCAAACTCGATTTCATTGAGGGCCGCATCAGGGTTGTTTGACCTCGGAGGGCCAGGGTAGGTGTGGCCAGCATGACATCAATCATGTCAGGGTGGCCTGAGCGCTCAGCTTCAACAGCCTCCTGCAACCCTCTACCAGTGAAAACAGAGATCAGTTTTCGCTGGCAGACACACCACGAGCCAGTTCTTCACTGTGTCCAGGGCTACTCCACGGGCCGGATCTAAACATCCCACGGGCTGGATCCAGCCTCCGGATCTTGTGACCCCCCCCTGGTTTAGGGGGTTCATATCATGTTAAGCTCAAGAGACTTTTTTTGCATTGCCAACAAATCACTAGTTCACAACTTCTATAGAAGATCCATTCCTGTTTTTGTCAACATTTTTATCAATTAATACAATTTTATTTTTTATTTATAAGTAAAATAAAAAGAGAAATATTCAAATACAGCCCAGTATAGACCGAGGAATGCTGATTTATTGCTACTGTAGAAGACTAAAATGAGATAAAGCAGGGAGATGAAATATAATCTCTCATTTTGAAACTTGCAGGTTAAGAATTGAATTTACATGTTCCCGGGGTCATAAAGCTAGCCACAGAAACTTAGATAAATCCAATATTTTATTGCAGTTTTAATTGCCCATCTCAATCCCCTACATAAAAGCAAAGGAAGAATTCCTGTTTTAACCTTATTGTTCGGTGTTTAAAGCTTTAAAAATCAACATTAATATGTAGTTCACTGAACTTTAGAAATCTTTACACTTGTGAACTGAAGTTTGGAAATGATTGTTTCTAGACAAATATATGAGAGCTTTACAGCATTTCTCATACTCAATACTTAACAATTCTGCAGTGATATCCAGATATTAAATATTATTACCTTTAAGATTTGACTAATGCCCAAAGTTACTGTTCTTTGCATACCTGCCTAAAAAAAAAATGCAGGCACCCTTAACAATCTGGTCCATGTTTACTTGCAAAGCCAAACATGGGTCTAGCCTATTTGCTCTTTATCAGATGCAGCAATCTACACAAATTGGTATGTAAAATTTCTCAGGCCCAATGAAGCATTCAGTTGAAGAATGTCTGTAGAGATTCTTAATCATCCAGGTCATGGTTGTCCCAAAGGTGCTTTTCAAAAAGCAACTAGACTTTCTTGGTTTCTTCCTTGAAGATGTTTTGCTTGTCGTCCAAGAAGCTTCTTCAGTTGATGAAGTAGTTCATGCTAGGGTTAAAAGTATAACTAATCTCATAAAAGTAAAAAAAAAAAAGGCAGAATTTGAACTGCTTTTATAGAAAAATTGGTAATTCTACAAAATGTATTACAGGAATCTATTTGCTAGTATAGATATTAGCAAATAAAATATTTGTTAAAATAATTTTGGCTTCTTCTCAACTAAATGTAGATTGATTCTCCATGTAAATTTCAGGAACACCCAAAAACTGTATCCTACCTTTATTTTAGATGTGCACATATTCATCATCAGTAGACATTATTTTCAATCAGATCCTTTATCTTTAAAGTAACAAAGGAATATAATTTGACAACTGAAGGAGATAACCATCATTTATATATTTAAGGCTTAGATATACAGCAATCTGTATCAACTGACATTTAATCTCAGGAATCCAAAAATAAGCCAGATGAGATCCAAAATCTGTAAATAATTCTTTTCACAATTTATTTTCTGGCAACACTAGCTTCTGCAGAGGTTACCACAGCCATGATTCACAAACTATGGTCTACAGAGATCCACCAGGTATGCTGTAGCTTTGGCTGACCACAGTCCAATTACTACCTTAGCCCTCAGGAGCTACCTGACTATCTCAGCCATCTTCCAATCTTGATCTCCAATCAGCTGCTTGTTTGTTCATGGCCTCAACTCCTGTGTCCCTTTCCCTGCCATTGATTTTCTTTGATGCCATATAGCTTTTCTGGATCCTATGTCATGGCGCCATTGGATCCTGGTTCTGAGGAGGAAAAGTTGGAACCCGGACCATCTGATAGGGATGGCACATCTCCCTTGGAATGTTTGGAGAGGCCAGGGGCTGAGGGCAACTGGAGCTGCCTGCCCTCACAGAGAATCAGCTCCAGTCAGGCAGTGGTTCTGAGAGACAGCAGATCCCCTCTGATGAGGAATAGCTCCCTCCCCACTCAATCCAAGGGCACAGAGTAGAGCAGAAGACTTAAGGAGAAGCTGAGGGACTTTGTCTTTTGTCAGGAACAATTGTTCGCTTTGGCTTACACTACCACAAGCTTTGGAAAAACACTGCCTTGACTCGTTTTTGTCTGGGCCTTGCCTTTGCCTCATGGACTTGCTTTGCCTTGTGGACTTGCCTGTCCCTGTGGAATTGCCTTGCCCTTTGGACCTTGACTCTGGCCTTGTCCCGTGAACTTGCACTTTCTCTTTGGACTTTGCAAACTGGTTTTTTACTGGCTTGTGTTTGTGGAACTGAGGGTGGCTCCCTTAAGGGAAGTATGTAGTGGAGACCTACCAGCTCTTGTAGGGCTGTTTGTTGTGGAAGTTAACAGAGCAATAAAGGACTCTAATGATGCCTGTCTCTGCCTAGTGATCTGGGTCATAACAATGCTGCATGACTTCCATTTCCATCCAAAGATCCTTTTCTATGAAGAATGATAGCACTTGATCAGATGTTGCTTGATGCTTTCAGACTGGCTTACAGCATGACCAGGTGGTGGTATTTATTTCATTTTCTTCATATTAAAAAGGGATCAAGATTGTTTTTGGAAATGCAGGGAGATGTCCAAATATTAGTTAGAAACACAATTGCTGTATTTGTATGCTTCAAAGATTCAATCTGGTTTCTTTCAGTAAAATATATCCATTTATTAACTTTCACTAAAAATCCAAGAACATACATCAGATTAGTGAATAGATAGGAATTAGTTACTAATACTTTTTATCCAGATACAGATTTTTGTCTTTATCTGCAAACTGTGTTACATGACCTTTCAGTGTGAAATCGTAGTGTCATTCAAATGGTGAGAAAAAAATATTACCAGTTTCAAATACAGAGCTCCAATTTTGTGTTTTCGGAAGATAGTAGGATTTGGTAGATTTATCCAGCTGTAAAAACATTTCACTTAGTCAGATAATTCACTTTTTTCTGTTTCCAACTGCTTAAGAGTCTGACACTTTTAACATTTTTAATGAATTACATCTGTAGTTAAAAAAAATAATTTAATCAAGATTTTTTGAGTGATTTTATTAAAAATTTTAAGGAAAATAAAACAAATGCAAATGTAAAAAAAGACAAAGAAATCAAAGAGAAAGGTTAAAAGTGCAAGAAAGGGGGGAAAGGAAAAGTAGAAAAGAAAGAAAAAAGATACAAAGTAGCTTCCGATCTTCTTTATAGCAGTTACAGATAGTACATGTCTTATGACATTCATTTAACAACAATTCAAAGTTATGATAGCCTTGAAAAAATTATTTATCACACTTGCGACCATTGTACCACCCTCATGATCATGTGATCACAATTCAGACGCTTAGCAACTGTCTCACATTTATGACCAAATACAGCATTCTATGAGCATGTGACTGTGGTTTCCGACCTTCCCAGTTGGTTTCTGACAAAAAACAATTATGGAAGCTGAATTTGTTTAACAACCATGTGATTTTGCTTAATAACCACAATGATTTGTTTTATGACCACCATAAAAATGGTCATAAAATCTGGTCTAGTCACTTGATGACTTATGACTGCACCAGAAATTCTGGCCCCAATTGTGATCTTAAGTTGAGAACTACTTGTATAGCTACATTAATAAATTTACTCTCACTCTATAGTTACAATTTAATTCTATTCTTTCTATAATGTATCATTAAAAACCACAAATCATACGTTTACTTTTTGCAGAAAAAGTCCGTAAGGGGTTTCTTGTCCGCAGTAAACATAGAAATTGTCTTTTCGTTAAACAATTTTGCCATACCAGCAAGTTCCATTGTCTTTATCAAATATTCTTCCATTGTGAGTAATGCCGAATCTTTCTATTTTTGTGCATACAATAACTTTGCTGCATTTATCAAGTACAAAAACAAATTTCTAAGATTGTTTTCCAATTGTTTGACCATCAATTCCAAAAGAAAAGTCTTAATATTCCAGCTCTTTTACATATCCACCAACAATGTATCTTCTTGTTCACATGTCCAATTTTTCCGGTGACATATACTTATGAAACATCATTGTATAAAAAATATCTTTAAGATTATAACATAGTATAAATTTCAATCCTTTCAACCACATGTTTTCCCATTGTTTCATTTGTTTATAATTAAAATTTTAGTCCACTTTTATCAAACATTCCAGAAATTGTTCTTCTATTTCACATCTCAATAAAAGTTTACACTTTTTAGCAATTACGTGTTCATCATTTGTACACAATTCTATTTCAAATTCAGCCTTATGATGTTCTTTTATCTACTTTAAATCTTTTTGGTAATTGTATATAAGAAAACCATTGTCCCTCTGCCACTAGTTCTTCTTTATTTTACATTCTTCCCAATACAATATTAGTATCTCACAATAAATTAGCCAAATTTATTTGCCTATTATTTCTTGTCTATAAGATGTTTGTTATGCTAAGAGCCAGGAAGATGTTTTTGAGCACAACCTGGATTTGTATCTCTTCCATTCTGAATATAGCATAAATAACAATTATTTTTCAAATCCAATTAACTTCAACTTTACTGTATCACAAATATCCCTGCCAACTTGATCTCATGTCATGTCCTTTTAACTCAAAAGCCTTATTTCTCAACACTAAGAACACTTACTCTTTCATCCAAACCAAACAGCAAGAGATCCTTCTTTCAAAAATGTGTGCATACAACATGTCTCAAAAACTGTGAGAAGGGAGAGGGAAAACTCCATATCTTTTCCAATATGTGTCTTTTGTAGCCAAATTATATTGTTTTATATTTTTTTTCAAATAACGACTTTTTTTAACTTTTGGGGAGCATTTGCTACATTTATATTTTACTTTAATCTCTTGTAATACATAATCACATGAAAAAATTAGAAAAAATACTTGTAACACCTAATCCAGTACCATCCCTTTCAGTTTCCTCTTGGACTAGTTGCAGTTTTTGTGTCTTCTTTGACACTTTCATTTGAATCTCAATTCTTCTTAGAATTTTTCTAGAAATTTCCACACCTCCTGGACAGAATTCAACTAAAATCTCTGTTATTTAAAAGTAAAATTTGTATCTTCCAATTTGTTCCATCAAAATAGGATCCTTTTCTGTTTTAATCTCTCAGTCAAAAAAATACACCTTTCTCTTGCACAGTTATGATAGTAATTTAAGAGCAACTATATCTATATTGCCAATATTTAATGCAAAACTTAATCCTTTTTTTTCCTGACAAAGTGCCAAAAGCATCTCTTAGAACATTTCTTGTTCTTGCAAAGATTGAATTTATTCTATACATTTTTATCAATTTATGTCTCTATATACTCCTTTGCCCAATCCCAAAAAATTGCCAGGACTTTAATAATCTCTCTAATATCTTCACTAGAATCCTATGGCCTTGCTCTAAGTCCTAAAACAAATTTGTATTCTGCTAATCAAATATAGCCAGATTATCTAGTTCTCTTTCCAACACCCTCAGGAACTTCTGTCCTTCTCTCTAAAATGTATACTTTGTCGTTGATTTGTTTTATCTCTCCAGACATTTGTTACAGCACCTTCCATCATCCTGACTTCTTCTTTCATCTCCTCTTTCCTCTTTACAAGTTTTTTATCTATTTTTTTCTTAAGTGCTGTCAATTTAGTATCAGGTGATTCTATCTTATTTGCCCATTTGCTAAAATTATTTCTGAAGCAAACCTGGTGTAATTCCTGCAGGTTGTTCTAGTGATCTCCTCTCCTCTCCTCCATTCTTGCTGTTTTCTGATGGTTATCATTATATTATAATCAAAAAATGAAAGTGTCTTAAACAAGAGAAAATTAAAGGCAAGCTTCCTATATTTTTGTCTTTTTGTGCTTCCATCCCTAATAGCACTTAATTATATTCAACATCAACTCTATAATTACAATCAGTTTCATAGTCTGGCTTACTGTTATTTTTTGTTTTGTGCAATCCACCAATTATATACATTCTTTAATACTAAACAAGAAACATTCCCACAAATGTGTAGTTCTTTTGGCTAATTTAATTCCAATGTATTTAAAGCACTTTTGCCAAAAAAAAAAATCTTTCAAAATAACCATCTCCTTTATCTGTTTTAAAAATTTCTTAAAATTTCCATGTTTGTCTTTACATTACATTCAAGGAAGTAGTGTAAAAACAAAGCTCTATGACATGTTTTGTTTTCCAAATGCTCCAAAGCCTACTGGAAGATTAAATATTTACTTAGAGCTGAGCTTAAAATTGTGAAGAACGTTTCAGCAAAAACTAATAGAACATTAAAAAAAACAACAGAGAAGATATGTTTTACTCACTAAAGTTTTCTGAAGGCTTCCAATGGTGGAGATTTGTGTTTGTAAATGTTAGGAAGAAATAAGTTTTTTTTTTAGAAAAACACTTTTTTCTGGCCAGAGGGAAATAAATATGCCACTATGACTTCTTTCTTAGAGTATAATGCCATACAATGTACTCATAGAATAATGCGGTGTTCTTTTAAAATGTTCTTAAAAGATCCATTTTGAGAGCTGTGGCAATCAATCAACAAAAATTAATCAAATGTTCTCATAATTGCAACCTGAAAATTAAGTTGCAGTAACCATTCAGATTATCTCTAATTTAAGGAAACTTTCAGCTATTCAGAAAATATAGAACTTACTATCTTCTTTGAGGAGATGCCATTGATAAAATATATCATATTGATATTTAATGAGCCAAGAGACAAAATTTCTTAACTTTTTTTTACTTTTCTTGAAACATAAAATAAATCTGAATAAAATATAGTGCTTGAAATCATGACAGAATAAAAATATTCTCTAGAATTGTAGTCTTCATCTCAAAACCTTACCACAGCTTCTAACCTCTAGTCAGGTCAGGAATGGGACAGTCCTTTAGGATTTTTCTTCTGCTGGTTTCTGTTCTTACTCCAGGTAAACAATCACTTCCTTATGACTAAACAAAAATATATTTATATAAGAAAAATCCTCTATAGAATTTTATTACAAAAGATCTTAACAGTTATGTATCACAAATTCATTAATTCATTCATTTATGATTATGTTGTAGCAAATGGGAATGACCAAAACAACAAATCCTTAGAAAATTACTGATGAAAACAAAAGGTTATGTTTGCACAAAAATAACTTTTTTTGTTTTCATCAGTAATTTTCTAAGGATTTGTTGTTTTTTCATCCCCATTTGCTACAACATAATCCTTTTCAAACATCACTGTTTTCTTCTAGAGGAAGGCCATTATTTAAAAAAATCATCTTATCTAAAGCACTGTCTTTCTTTTGGTATCAGTGATCATGATTCTTTTGGTATCATGATCAAAACTGAGCGTGAGACCACTTTTAACAAAACTAGGAGAAAAGACAAATAAGCTAGTACTGCTATCTAATAATTCTATTTGGGGCTCATCTCTGAGTGATTACCTATAGGATACCTCCCACTTCTGTAGTTCACTGAATTCCTGAATTCCAGCCATATGGGGCAAATTTGGGCAAGTGTGTAAGAGGTTATCATTTGCACTGTGAGCATCATTCCCAAGTAAAATTCAATTTCACTCTTTCAGAATAAGCAAAAATATCAAACGAATCTGAAATTACTAATTATTATTTAAGGTTTTGCTTATTTTGAAGTTGTGAACTAACTGAGACATAATTAAAGTTACCGGCAATTACAGACATGCTAATTTATTTGCAGAAATGTGTGAAGGAAGGATAAAAGGATTCCATGTGGAAGGAAATATTTTTTTCGTATTTCAATTTACTAAACCAAGATTATGATATCAAAGCTTTTTCTCTGAGATTGTTAATTGTATCAACATCTAGAAACATACCTAGATTGAGTTAAAAGTTCTCTCTTCACTTTGGGGATTTTTTTGTGGGTTGTCTTCTGAAGATAATTTCTGGTCTTTTTTAAAATGATTCATCTTTAGGCTATGAATTACTTTATCAAGTTCGCCCTGTTTCTCCTTTAAAGCTTTCATATTCGTTTCCAGTTCAGCAACTTTGTTTGCAGTGTTTTCTTTTACTCTGCTCAGTTCCACAAGCAAAGGGTCCTCCTCTTTTCGTTTCTTCTGCAGCATCTCCACTAAATTGAAGTGGTGGAGCGAGGTACAAAAGAATATCTTTTTAATATATGTATTATTAAGGTAATTAAAATTATAAGTTTTAATGTTCTTAGATCCAAGATGCTTGGTATGTATTAAAAGTAATGTTGTCTACAGTGATACACATATATAATCCACTCTTTAGGATCACATAGTCTTAAATTTACAACTGTTGTTCAGTAACTGTCCAAGGTTACGATGGCTCCTTAGAGTTCTGGCTATCACAGCATTCCCATGGCCATGTGATTGCAATCAGGGTGCTCAGCACCTAGCTCACAATTACAACATCACAGCAAGCTACATTCATGTGACTGTGATTTCCCCCATTCCCTGCCAGCTTCCCACAAGTGAAGTCGATGATAAAATTGCAATCACATGATGACACACAGTCCTTGTATAACTTATGGCAACCTAAACTACTGAAATTGCCATTGCTAAATTATGCAGTCATGTCACATTGCACTCTACTACCATGTTGCTTGCTATGGAGTTCCTAGTCCTAACTGCTATTGTAATCTGGAGACTTTCTGTAGTACTATGAGATGTCTTCAGAATGAGATAAAATATACACTTTCCAGGGGATTGTGCAGTATTCAGCACTATTACTGAGTACTTGGGGGGGGGGGTTTCAAAATAACAGGAAATGATACCTTGCAGTTTTGAAAGCCTATCTAATTCAATCTTCAGATAAAAGAGTTTCTTATGTTGCGATTCTTTTTCAAGCTCCAACTTTCTTCTTTCGTCTATTACCTGAAAATTTGAGAAGGAATTAGCATGTTAAAATATGCCATTTCATTGATCAAAGTAAAAGCAACCCTACAAGGATCATTATGGCAAATTTCCAATGTGTCCCTGCATCCAGTCTTTTTATATTATTATATGTAGCAATAGCACTTAGACTTATATACCGCTTTATAGTGCTTTACAGCCCTTTCTAAGTAGTTTACACAGTCAGCATATTGCTCCCAACAATTTGGGTCCTCATTTTACCCTCAGAAGGATGGAAGGCTGAATCAACCTTGAGGCTGGTTGGATTCGATCTGCCAAATTGCAGTAAAAGTAGCTTGCAGTATGACACTCTAACCACAGTGCCACCGAGGCTCATATATTTCAAATTATATTTAGTGCAATTTATCTCTTACTCACAAGAGTAAGAGTATAGTATATTATATAGTATGTTCATTTTTCCATTAAAATAGCACGTCGTCTTACTTTATAAAATCCACCTGAAGTTCTGTAATTCGTAACAAGGGAGGAGGGGACAAACAAGCCATGACTTAACAAAATGGAAGTGTATGTAACTGTACCGGAGTCATTACACCGAAGCACATGTAACAAGCCTGGAATATATTCTTAATTTGTAAGGAAATAACTTCTTTAGGACACCTAAAACAGTGAATTTCCTTTGGAAGCTAGAGGCTGAAATCCACCACTAGATGACAAATCTGTGTTGTTGAATTTATGTGTTGCAAATCCTTAACATCAACAAAGGGGCAGGGCAGAAGTTGTACAAGATGATGATGGAAGGAGCTAGGTATCTGAAGAATCCAACTCTTTTCAAATCAATAAACTTTGGCATAAATATTTGTCATACTTCAAGTACTTGCAACATTTAGGCTGACCCAGGAGGAAATCTAAATTCATTATTTCACAATGCCAAAAAATATTATGGACAGGGTAACAAATATTTCTGCTTACTAATGGGATTATCAGTACATTATAGTGGAATGGCAAGAATATCCTTCCCACTATTTTTTTTAAAAATTGGTAATCCTGTTTTTTCTAATAATATTTCTGTCTCAAATGTTTGTTTTCATTTGCAAAGAGCAAATATGCAGATTTTCACCTAAAGCTTATTCATTCCGTTTATTTTACAAGATTGATAGATTTAATATCCAAAAAATGGAATTGAAACAGTTAATAACCCTAAGGCTCTAATGAGACTTCAACAGACTATACAACATCAAGTGCAGACTGGTAAACTCATTAAAACTATTTTGAATTGGAGAATAACAGCAACATTCTACCTCTATCTATAAATTTTATACAAGCCCCTGGCTTCTGTTGCCAAAGACTCCTGCAAAACATTATTTTATTTAGAATATATTAAAAGACTTAATAGCCCGCTTTTTTCAATTACTTGGTTGATGAAATCAATGTAGGCAGAAATAAGTATTAAATCTTATGGTAAGTAGTGATAAACTGTCCATTCTTTAAGTTGCAGTATCACCAAACCTTAAAGTTTTAATAGTCACATCTCTGTCAGCTTACCATTGATCAGACACTAATGATGTAGAACATTTGGCATGCCATTTGTTATATTTTTGTACACATTTATTTTTATTATTAGAGTTTTTAATTAGTGTTTATTATTAGTGTTTATTATTAGTATTAGTTATTAGTGTTTGTTAGTTACTTTTTTTCTTTATTTTAACTTTCGAAATAAAATGAAGTGGCTATCATTGGACCTAAATGTCCTGGACAACTTTTGTCCAGCCTCCAACATCCCCTTTCTACTAAAGATTGTTGAAAAGAGGTCAGTTGTAGTTTCAGAGAGCCATGAAAGAAATGGATTGTCTGGTCCCATTTTAGTTGGGTTTCAGGCCTAATTCAGTATGGACACGGCACTGATCATGCTCACTGATGAGCTCTGGTGATGCAAGGATGCAGATGGTTGCAACCAATTTGGCCCTACGTTTTTCTCAGCAATTTTGATACAATTGATCTTGACATCCTTGTAGACCAGTTGAGAATACAACTCGAGAATACTCTCCACAGCCAGTTCAAGGCAGTATTTTGAGAGGGGGAGAGTAGACTAAAATTCAAATCCTTTGATTTGTAGATTGCCAGAAGTTTGATGCTCTTGCTCCTCCTGCTTAATATGAGGTTGCATGAGGAAGAGGTCATCAATCAGTTAACCTCAGTTCAGCATCAGGTATCATGAATACATGGATGTCATTCTACTGTGAATTTCAATCCATGAATAAAAAAAAATGTTGTCAATGCTTGGAACAGCTGGAGTCTGGATGGGGAGAAACAGGTTTAAGTTCAATTCTACCAAGTCAAGTGGTTTGGACCTCCTTGTTCGAGAGATTCCCAAACTCAAGTCCTGAAGTGGGTGCCACTAGGGGAAGTCTTCCTAAATTCTCAACTCCTTCTCAATGATCCAGGTAGCTAGGGCTTTGCACAAATAAAATATGTATGGCGGTTGCACTCATTTCTGGACCAAGAAGCCCTCATTAGTCACTCATATCTTGGAGAATATGGTAGCATGGTCTGTGGTGCTGTGAGCACTCGTGACACTCACAGCAATGCACACGCAGATGGGGGTTGTGCACGCACTCCAGCCAGCTACTGACATGGCCCAGGGGCCAATAGATAGTGTTTTTATGTTTTAAAATTATACATTATAACTGATAAACAGAGACCTGCATTGAATAAGTGTTTGGACTAGTCAATTTCTAAAGTCTATTCTAAATCTATTTCTACGATTCTATGGTAATTATAAAATCAGCAAAATACTCACTTTGAGCTCCACAGAACTTACTTTTATTCTTCGCCTGGCCTTTTTTTTAGATGACTTGGATAACTGAGGCTGCTGACATGAAGGAGCAGTGGTAGAAGCATCTTGAAGTTGCTTGGAATTGCTGATGGTAATTGTTTTAATGATTCTGAGGTTGGGATTTGTACATTTGTTTCTTAGCATGGCAACCTCAGGTTTATTTGGACATACAGAGCCCACTTGCTGAGCAGACCAGTCAGAAGTTGTATAACCCATATTGTGCTGGTATACATCATAGACAGGTAAGGCTGGGAGAGCAGCAGAGTTTGGGAAGAACTGAGTTGGAGTAAATGAAGAGACATATGGAACATTATGACAGAAACCAGAGATGGGCCCAGGAGGTGGAAGAAAAGAAGGTGGAGCTGATGGGATTAAAAATGCTGGAACACCAGATTGCTTGCACATGTCAGTAGGTTTATTTTGCCCTGAAATAGCAATGTTATTATAGTCAGATTTTAAAACAGGAGACACAGCTTCAGGTGATGGAAAAGAATCAGATGACGATAGAGAATGTTTCTGCCTCTCCCACAATTTTGCTTTATGATTTACCACTGAATGATGATGAGAAAAAGCTGTTTTTTTCCCATGAAGTCTTTCTTCTGTGCGAGCAGCAAGCTTATCTATTTCAGCCATTCCAATATCCAAACCAATAGTTTTAAGCAAGTCACGGATCTTTTCATATTCCACTCTGGACTGTTCCAAATTCTCTGGTTTTACAGACTGTTCCAAATTCTCTGGTTTTACAGACTGTTCCAAATTCTCTGGTTTTACAGACTGTTCCAAATTCTCTGGTTTTACAGACTGTTCCAAATTCTCTGGTTTTGCAGGAGGTAGAGAATTTACTTTCTCACTTACAGGTTCTTTCTTTTCACTCATCATTATCTTTTGAGAGTAGAGACAGTTGTTTGAATCACCATCATCATCACCATAAAGAAATTTCTCTTCATCTTCTATATTATCAGGGAAGGGATCCAATATTTTTTCTGGAACATAAGTAGAATCAGTTGTTGTACCTAGAATGCATGAAAAACCACTTCCATCCTGACTAGCTCTTTCATGAGGCTGCAGGAAGTCACGATATTGATTGACAGATTCTGATGCTGACTCAGGAGGCTTCTTCCCCTTTGAAAAATTTCCAGAGACCTGTTCAAAAGGAAAAGCATTTGTTCCTTATCATGTCTGTTGCACTGAAATGCCTTACTACAAACAAGTTATTGCTGAACTGAAGAAACTCTGAAGAAGAAAAACTGATGAAAATAAGTGATTGTGTAAAAACTGTTACCAATAAAAAATATCTGAAACAAAGGAGTTCATTTATAGTATAAAGAATTGTTAGAAAAGAATCTAGGCTTTAAAAATGATCTTGCGATATTAGTTTATAAGATTAATCAATATTTCAATTCATAAAACAGGTCATTCTTGCATATTAACAGATTACAGCTAATAACTTGGAAAACTGTAAGAGAAGAAAAATGAAACTGAGAGAGATGAGTTCTAAAATATCATTTAATTTGACATATTGTGGGTATTTCATTAGGGCTAAGGCAAGGTGCAAAAGTACTACAAAAAAGTTATCAGAGGAAGACAAATAACATGCTTCCTTTGCTCAGCAGGCCACACTAATACAAGATGATCTCACTATATTGTACTAATCAGCAATAAAATTGCCAATGCAGTAATACGTCACTCTAGCTATCTTCTATAAGATGCACATACTATGTCACCACCCAGGTTTGGTCAGAGTTAACCATTCAGTGAAATGGCTTTATTCTCCCCCCATGATATGCTCATAAAGTCCAGTTTTAAGTTGCAGTACAGCATCAATATAATCATGCCATGATCTATGATTATTTTGTAATCACTGAGCAAGGAGAAGGAAAAACAGCACATCAAAAGAGCAGCAGAGGAAGCACAAAATGGGTCTGAACAATAACAGAATTTGACAGGTGCCTTTCTGAAGCATCTCAAAAATCCAAAAAAGTAGCCAAATGCTCCTAAGTCAACAGGCAATATTATTTATGACTGCTGCATGATGCAAATTCACAAAAGCATGGTGCTTCTTCTTTCAGAAATGAACAGTTATTTATCTCTGTTTTGAAACTATGTTGGGAAAATAAGGTGACTTGATAATTCAGTTTCAAATAGTTTTTAAAAATTAATATTTGTAGAGATTTCTTTAGTTTCAAACACTGAAAAATTCTGCACTTGGTTTTCTAGAAACAATTTAGGAACCTTCCAACCTACATGCCTAATGCTAAAAGTTTTAATCTAAACCATGAAAATCTTCAGCAAGCACCCTCCCATTCCTCCATAATCCCACCTTTCAGAACAGACTCCTCCCTGTATGACAAGCCATCTCATGCTCCTTGCAGAGCAAAATAAGGAGCAATTGCTCTTAATTCATCTTGCATGAGGAAAAATATTACTGATGTGGCTTCAAGGTTAAAAACCAGAAATCCCCATAAGTGATCTAAAATTACTATATCAAATGCAGCTCCTTTATGTTATCCTCATACAGATGTCAAAATGCTAAAATAAAATGTCTAATGATAACACATCTTAATAGAAAGAAAGTTACTGGTTTTAAATTTAAAACGAATAAAATGCAAACTTTCTGATCCAAATGAGATCCAAGATGCTGTCAATACTAAATCAATTCCAAGACAGGCAAAAATGTGTGATATTGTTCAAAGCATTTATTCCAAAGATCTACATATAGACAATTAAATACTTATATTTAAATTAGGAAAAAGACAGAAAACGGACAGATTAACAAATAGAGTGAAGAATTCAGTTCAAACCTGTATAGAAGAATCATCTGAACGTTTCTTCAGTATAGATTTAAAGGGCACTGCTGATGTTTTCTCAGATCTAGAATGGTGTCGAGATTCAGAAGACTGTTCTTGATTAGCTGAATCAAGAATTGGGTTGTCAGTACTAATGTTACTGCTTCGCAAATCCTCTTCTCGTTTTCTCCTAATTCTTTCAAGTTTACAAAAATCTTCATCCATGTATATCAGGCTTGGGCTTCTATTAAGGCTTTGTTTACAATACTTCTCTGTTTCTGCCAATAAAGCCCGAGATTTTATGCTTTCATCAAAGAGTCTATCTTTTCTGTCATATTGAAAGTATTTTGATTCTTGCTCCCCACCCCTCTTATTTTCTCTTGATTGATGCTGTAGAAATTCACTGTTTATGCTTCGGTCCAGTTGAGCTATGAAAATGTCCCTATTATAAGAGTCCTCATCATGTCTCATGCTGAATGGTCTTGAAGGATTCTCCTCACGAAAGAAACCTCTATCAAGATTCCGAGGATGTGAAAGGGCTCTGCTGAATACTTGACCATCAGCCAAGTCATCCCTGATGAGAGAGGCACATCAGTTACAACATCAACTTCATATAAATCTCTGGAACTCAGGTTAGCATAGTTGCCTGACTTAGCCAATACCTTTTTATTATACTGATTTATTATGGTGCAATAAGCACAGAATACAGGTAGTCCTCGACTTACAAGTTTGTTTAGTGACCGTTCAAAGTTACAATGGCACTGAAAAATATGACTTAGGACCGTTTTTCACACTTACAACCATTGCAGCAACCCCATGATCACATGATCAAAATTCAGATGCTCAGCGACTGGTTCGTATTTATGACTGTTGCAGTATCCCAGGGTCATGTAATCACTTTTTGCCACCTTCTGACAAGCAAAGTCAAAGGGAAAGCCAGATTCACTTAACAACCAGATTACTAATTTAGCAACTGCAGTGATTCACTTGACAACTGTGGCAAGAATGGTTGTAAAATAGCACAAAGCTCATTTAACAAATGTCTCACTTAACAAGAGAAAGTTTGGGCTCAATTGTAGCCATAAGTTGAGGATTACCTTTATGCAACACATAAACTTCTTACACCTCAGATAGGAGAATCTCAATGGCAATGCATATGCATAGCCTTGAGCAGTAAAGCAATTACATTAGGATACAGGTAATCCTCAAATTATGACCACTCTTTTATCATCCATTCAAGATTATAACAGCACTGAACATGGGCAACTTATGACCTGTCCACAAAGTTGTGGTAATTGCAACATCACATTATTGAAATGTGGGTACTTGGGTGCCCAGCTCACAATTATTATAGTGAATTGCAACCATATGATCACCATTTGTAAGCTTCCCAGCTGGAACCAAAGTCAATGGGGAAGCTGGCAGGGATGGTTGTTAGTTGCTCACATTAGTTGTTCTCACTGCTTTTTCTCCCAAGGAGCCCTCCGTGGGAACTTCAGGGATCTTGTACTTTGCAACAACCTCACACAGACATCTTATTTGCCAAATGCAGCCATTCTGGGATTGGGAGGTCTTGTCACAATCACTAATCCCATCATTTTCTGGTTGGCAACACTTTCTACATGGGGCTTCCTTTGTAGACTAACTGGAAATTACAATTGATTCAGAATGTGGCAGCATGCACAGTTCTGACTGCCCTACAGTTTTACCATATTACACTGCTGATGGAATATAATCAGCAATAAGAGTAATATTGAGGAATAGGGGACTTCCGGTTTGCCAGGCTTCGGCGGCGGCGGGGATTCGCGATCCTGCGCAATCCCTGTTGCGCTAGCCGTCTTGGTGCCTCCGATCCTGACGGGTCTGGAGGATAAGGCTGCCCCGTAGAGGCAGCCGAAGATAGGGGGATCCGGATATGGGATTGTGGGTATCGCAGACCCCCTCCCCACCCAGCATAACCCTTTTCTCAAGGCGGTGGAGCGGCGGTCAGTAATGGCCGCCACAAAGAAGCCGGCAGCTGGACAAGATCGTGCTGGAGGAAGAAGGAGAAAGTTTTGAAGTGAAAGTTCTTTGGCTGAACCGGGATCTTAAGATACATCTAACATCCTGAAAACTTGATTTTTTGAATGATACTTTGTTTCCAGAGATCTTTAAGCGGCGAATGGAAGTGTTGAAAGAGAAAGTTTACTCTCCTTCCCTACGGAGTTAACAAATGGACATTGAAAAACCTGCTTTTTTATAGAAGGTAAAAATTTAAAGCTCTTTGTTATAAGTGGGAAAGGAGAGGACAAAAAAAAACTTATATTAAGATCTTGTTGGAGGAGATGCCTGGAAGATTTTGAGACTAGAAGTTAATTGCAATAAGGCTTTAAAATACAGACTGGGTTTTCTTTTTTTCAATTGATATTACCCCAGGAAGAGAAAGTGTAAAGGGAAGAACTTTGTGCTCTGTTTGGGCTGCTTGATGACTCTGGGACTTTGCGGAACTGTTTTAAGCTTTGAAATATCTTGGTTGTTTTAATAAAAAGAAGAGGGGGGGGGAGAAGAAAAGGTTTATAATGGCTTTATTTGTTGATGAACTAAGAAAGGAATATGGAAAAATAAAGAAAGAAGGCAAGGACGCTTTGAGAGAAACCTTTCACTTTTTAGAAATGGCGCTTGCTACTTATCAGCAAACACAACAACTGATGGAGGAGGAGGAGGAGGAGGAGGAGGAGGAGGAGGAGGAGGAGGAGGAAGAAGAAGAAGAAGAAGAAGAAGAAGAAGAAGAAGAAGAAGAAGA